CATCAGTCGATGTAAAGCACAGATGTCGGTGACGTACGACCGAGCCTATGCCCGCGATTGGTGCAGTTCAACGACTGCAGCATGAAAGGTTAAGAAGCTTTCGCTCCGACTATCGATGCTACGTACCGTACAAACGTTCTAACAATCTCTTTGTTCTCGAACGCATAACGAAAGATCAAATCGAACTATTGTTTGATTCAAAATCTACAAAATATAACTGAATAGTCTCAGTCCGATTTTACATGCAGCAAGATATTTATTATTGTGTTGAATCCAATTAATTTTTATCGGTAATTATTATTGCCACATCGTTGTTGCGTTAACATCTAACTACTATTAATTACTTTTTAACGCGATTAGGGCGTATAATTTTTATTATCCGTGTCTTAAAAAAAAATCTAATCTTATTAGAGTACACACGCGACAAAAAAAAAAGATTAAAAACGAGACATGGCAGATTCATGAAAACAAATAAAAAACGAATTGCGTGCGTTATTGCAAATTACGCGTGCCCTTTGCTGATTAAGTAATGGCTTTATTACGTGAAAGATAAAATCCGTTTGCGCTAATGCTAATAAAGCCTTCCTAATAATCCCAGAAATTAGCGGTCACAACCACGCCCGTCACGTACAATGCGGTGACGATTATTATATGGTCTAGGAATTAACTGCACCACGTATCTACTGATGAACGCCGAACCGGACAAATAGATACATTCGTAAAATCGGTTAATCAGATATATAAAGGAAATTTCAATACGTTATCCGCATTGATTAACATATTCAGCGCGTACACTTTTGATTAAAAAAAAAAAAAATATCTACATAAATCCGATATTTAAAATTGTATCATCGCGTACGCATCGAAAATTAAATAAAAAGTAATTGCGTCTCGCGAAAACAACAATTTGCGATTGTACATGTAAACAAGGTAGCTGATTGTATTTCCGCCAGGTTGAAGTATCGACTTTATTTGAGGAAATTATTCATGGAAATAGACGAGCACATGCAAACAGCTTCGAGCCAACCAACTGCGGGCGCATTGTTAATGGATAATGAGCGCCGAGCTCTTCATACCATCACTCATTCTTTTATCATCCACGCGCTACGGTAAATGAACATGTCTATCGCGCGCGCGCGCACGTTGAAACGTGAATTGGATTTATGTTTGTGTATCTGTGCACGCTACATTTTTTGCGAGTTAGTCTACAGATCAGAGGGTTAGGAATAGAGTTAGAACTGGGGGTTTCTATCTCTCTACGTTTTCCCGTGAAAAAGAAGTGACTTTTCTTCCCTCGTGGAGTTCGTAAAAAAAGGAAAAAAAGCGCGCGGATGTAAATCCTGCCGTACGACACGAATAAATCACCGAAAAAAAGTTTTTTCAGGAGTTCAGCTCTTCTCCGTGACACTCCGCGGCCGGATAAAGGCATTTTCCGACTTAGGACGAAAGCGTGCGAAAAATCCTCGCGCGAAAATTCGCGTGAAATTTGTCAGCGTGGGTTAGTCGCATTATGATTCGCGTGGCAAATTTCTTTATTGTTTTTTTTTTTTAATTTTCTGTCTGATGTCTCGATATCTCCAAACATCACTCGAAATGTCGCCGCTTATATATTATATATATTATATATTATATATATTATATATTATATATATTTAATATTTCTTCCTTCACCGCACGCTATATTCGAAGACGCTCTTTGAAGTTTGTGCGATATTTCGCTTGAACGCGGACTATCAATCCTTTCATGCGCTTTACGACGTACTTTAGAAGAAACTTCCCCGCTGGCTGGTTGATTGGCAGCACGTCGGAAAGAACTGTCAGCGAATAAGGACCTGGCGTCGGTTTTTCTTTTCCTTTCCACTCTCTCGGGCGGTCGGACGTTCGGGGCAAACTTCTACCTCGGTGTGCGATTACCATTTTATCGGGTCTGATTTGCGAGCACTTCACACGAACCTTGTTACTGCATGGGCATTGTGAGCGAAGGGCCGCACTTACCGGCATTGTCGTAGCTCTTTCAAGGATTTAGTCGAACCTTCACTACGGGAAACGTACGTGGATATGTTCGCGCGTAGTACGTTAAGTACGTGCGCACACAAACATGCACACGGACACACACAACACACTTACGTGACTATTTGTTATCGCTATATATATATATATATATATATGTATAAGTGCAATAATGATCCACATCACTGCGCGGCGAAGAAAATCTAACGATAATAATACAATAATAAGACGTTGCTTCGGATGCGGCGAAACACGCGAATTTCGCGCGATTGATTATGGAGGAGCCGTAGTACAATTGGTAAACAACGATACGCCGTTGAATTTCAATTTCGTGAGTCTCGATCAATGTTTACCGGCATCTCTCTCGTCGCGCTCTCCCGCGGTGTATATACATATATCGCGCACGGAGTTTCGTGTATAGTGTTTGCACGTGACGAATATGCTCGACGGCTTCGATGCACAAATAAATCGATTTCAATCATAAACAGCGGTCGAATGGCACGAAGGAAACTTTCGGCAAACAGTCGTTTCATTATCATTGCAAATTAATACAAACATCTAGCACATATATGGCGTATTACGTCGAGCGATTCCTGGCGCTCAATTCCGTTTACGTGTAATTTCAAATTCATAAATGAACGACGACGTGGATGGTACACGTATGTATGTATATTCCGCGTACGGGATCTCGCCGAGCTTTCCGCGACTAGATCGTTTTTTTTTTTTTTTTTTTTTTTCAATTTGTGGGAGGATACATTTTTCAAACGATGGTAAACCATTATTTAACGCCAGATTCAGACTTCTCTCAATATTTATTAAGCTTTTTTTTCACATGTGTAATTTCTATTTTCTCTTTTCATTGCGAGAAAAACCGAAAATTTTTGTCTGTTTAATACTTTCGCACGCTGTAATGTACTAAAATAAATTTTTTTTGTGTCGACGACAAACAACGAGCATTTAAAAATACACTCGTAATTATCTTCGATGCGCATTAATAAGCGAGAGTGATATTTTTGTTACTCGCGCGAATAACGCAAATGAACGCCGCGAAATGTTTTCATATCGCACTTCGTGCCGACTATTAAACAAGTGTGATTTTGTCGTCGAAGGGGAGATACGATAACATTCTATCGCGTCGTATTGCGAATACTACGCGAGCGTTATTCGCGAGAGAGAAGACTCCGTTCTCGCGGCTCTTTTTTATAGACAAGGGAACATTAACGAACAACATGGAAACAAAACGTGAAGTTTAGTCTGAGCACTTTCTTTTGTGTTACGCTGGACTGAATAACGTTAATAAAGAAATAGCGGAGGGAGAAGAGTACAGAGACTACGCTTGAGCGTTTCTTCACAGCGTCACGCGTAGACGGATACATCGCGCGTAAACTTTACAAAGAGCAAGAGCCGGATATGTTTCTTTGCGCAAAGAGAAGCACGAGGCAAAATTCGCCGGCGGCAATCAAGCGTAATTGCACACGGAAATGCAAAACATAATCACCACCGTGGAAAATCCTATTTTTCCGACCTTCCGGAAAAGCAAGACGGGGGGGGGGGTGGGAGGAGGCAGAACCGCTGGTCATGCAAGATTCGTAATTACGGGGCGTAATTACCAGATAACAGATAGGCAGGCGACTATTCTCGTTTTTCTCTCGCCACATGTCCGCGAAACGTGCCGCGTCATTGGGTGCAAAGCGCATGCCGCTCCTTTAAATCTTTCCGGGAAACCAACAAAAAGGGGGCTCGTTTCGCTAAGCGAATTTTAAAAGGGCTTCCGGAAAAAAACGGCGGAAGGAAATTCGAAAAGAAAGTTGCCAACGTTGCTTTACGGGTCGGCTTTTAAACGATTGACGAAATGTCGCGGTATAAAAACCGCGCATTTATGCGGACGTGAACATAGAGAGAAATAGAGAGAGAGAGAGAGAGAGAAAAAAAATAGAAAAAGTAATCTACACTACTTTTAAATTACATTTACAAAAGCCGGAATTTTATCTCCTTTTGAAATGGAACATTCTCCGACGAATCTCGCTCGTTCGTTTCACTGATTCGCAAATCGTTCGCGAATTCTTTCGTCGGTTGCTGTTATATGGGACCAGCTCGCTTGATTCGTGCAAATCCGTTGATGATTACCGACGCCCTGGCTCGTGTTCCGCTGGAAAATCCGATTAGACGGTTTAAAATCGATTGTGTGACGACCGTCATAGGGGGAAGGAGGATCCATTCGTGACGTGGGCGCGTGAGACCTGTACATGACGTCGTGGCCAGTCGAGAGGGAAAGCACGCGGTGTTTGAAATCGGTCGAAGGGTAGAGAGACCTGTGCACACCGTCAGAGAGACGAAGAGAGACGGACGTGCCGGCGGCTTGCAATTACCATTCATTACTTTGTTGAGGCCAATTGACATAACTGATTGGTATTCGGCACCCACGCCACCCTCAAAGGACCCTACCGACCGTCACGAAGGGGGCTAACGTAGTTACGTCTGCGCTGCGGGCTATGTACACCCGGGCGGGCCCTCTCTGATGCATCGTCGGACGTTAGTCGCTTACGACGTCGAATATGCGGAGTTAAATCTCGAGTAAAGCGCACTCTTTCGTGAATTAAATACGGTTTTGGAGCGTGGCGAATTAAGTGCTCGCGATCCGCAGTATCTCGTCAGAAAAAAGAGAGAGAGAGAGACATGTACGTGCTCTTTCGCGTTTTTCTTTCGTTTTATTGCTATCTTTCAGCGAGCGTATGCGATTCTATCCGCTAATTTTTAAACGTGCCGGGCTTTTCAATCCATACGCGGTTTCAACGAAGTTCGTTAATTTTTGTACATTCGCGAGCAATGTTATCCGAAAGCGAAAAACACCCGCTGTACAATCTAAACGCGGTGTTTTACTTTTGATTTCTTTAAATAACATTTAATATTTGCAATGTTATTTTGTTGACAGAATGTTTTTTTACGACATTACTATAGTAAACGTGACGAAGTTTTCTCTTTGATTTCAGGATTCAACGTGACAGAATGCTGTTGCAAATAGACTCCGCTTAACGCTTCACGGCAGCATCCAATGTAAAAGGCACGTCAAACGCGGTAAATAAACAAGTTGATAAACATCGGCTTGAAAAGTAATATTCGTACCACAGGGTCGCTATTATGCATGAGGTCGTTAATGTATTCATGTTGAAATAAATTACAACCGTGTCTAAAATACCTTCTTGTACCGAGAACGCGATAAATTGCGTTTTAACCTGCTCTTATAATCAATCTTTCAAAGCAAAATTGCGACAATTCGAGAAGTTTTATAAATCACGCGGACGTAAAAACGTTTAATTTTTCTCAAAGCCCACGTTTCGTGACCGCCAGCCGCGCTCTCTCGCGCAAACGCGATTCCAATAGAGGTTAACTTCAATCAAGAGTCTCTTCTTATGATATTTTCTTTTGAGCCCTTGAACTTTTGCCCTCTTCGTAAAACTAACCGACTATCGTATAAACTCGAAGCCTTTTTCCTTGACCAAGCACTATTTCCGCCTCAAGTGGGTGGGCTCCTCGGTGAAGTAACGGAAAGTCAACTGATAAATAGTTCCTAATGTTTCTTCGTGTCGAGTTTCTCCTTTTCCGACGACCGTGTACGTGCTGCCGAGTACACTTACGTCCGCAAGAATTTCGGACTCTCGCTCGGTTCAGTTATATACTCAAGAGAAATTCTACCGTAACCGTTAAAAGAATCGAGGCGAGAAATTCTGCTTCATTGCGAGGAACGGGATGACACTTACCGTTTTCGCGCTGAAAGAACGCTCACGGTGGCATTTTCGCATTCCTTATCGCGGCGCCGCGGAATCGTCATTTGCGTGGAAAAGACCACTTGGGAAAAAATCATGGAAAAAAAAAGGAGGAAAAAAAAACGATATTTGACAAACCGCGTTGGAAATGTGCGTTTCGGTGACGCGCGTCACTTGCGTTTCACTTTATTCGCAGCAAAATATTTATTCGTTAATTTAAACGCTTTAAACTAATTGTGTTTTTTCCCGCCTTGCTCACGGCGTGAAATTGTTTAAAAATTGATTATTCATTTTGTGTGAAGACTGCCGCGCGCTCTAAAGGTCCTCTGTTTGTTGCTCAAACACTGCGACAAATCAAGGCTTTGTCGCGAGACGGAATACAACGTCGAGAGTGGCACAGTATTGCACGTCATTGACAACGTTTACACGACCCACTTTACGCCGGCTTACCGTACTAGCTTAGTGTATCTCTCTAGTGTTAAATGCGGTATGGACCGTGATTTTACGTTGCGGTCACTACGCCCGTGTAATTACGTGTCCGTGCAAAGAGGAACGGCCGGAAAGTCGCACGCAAGTAACGCGCGAAGGACTTCGAAAATCTAAAGCTCTCTCTCTCTCTCTCTCTCTCTCGATGTTTATTGCAAGCGCAATTTTCCTTTACCAGAAGAGAAACGTGTGTCTGAAGTACTAATTTCTGGAAATAATAAATTAATTTTATGTATTTTTTTTTTTTTTTTCAATCTTCAATAGATTTTTTGATATAATACAGACACTTGAAACTTCACAAGGTTTTTAATAGAAAGAAGCAAGTGTTTTAACGAGGGTATTTAAAAGACGTTAAATAACGCTCGAGAGATCAAAGCGTTTTTCCAATTATTACACTCTTTTTACACATCCGAATTTTTACACCCCGTACCATTTTGGTACGGAGTGTCACACATGCGGTGAATCCGCGTTATTCGAAATCGCGGAACAATTTGTCAATTTGATCTTTTTTATGCAATTAATCGGAGAAATGATTTCTCTTTGCGCCGCATCTGAATACAAATCGACCGACAGTTGGCGACTCTTATTGCACAAAACGCGATGATTTTGAAACGTGTGTGTTTCAAAAGAATATTCCGATATACGAGCGGCATCGCACGTGTCCGTTTGATCATTCCGTTTTGTTTTTTTTTTGTTTTTTTTTTTTTTACACATTTATTTCCGTTCACGTCGTCGAACACACGCGTGCCAATGTTCAGCGAACGTGCTAAACGCAACCGGGGATATTTATAAATGGAAATGGAAAAAGCGATCGGCGTTATCATACGCCGAAAACTCTGTCAATAATGCGTGGTATAACAACGTCAAAAACAATAAAAATAAAATTTAATTGATGTTGCGTACATGCGTGGGTTGCGTTCGTACGAGAAAGGGGATTTTTATTGAATTGTGTTATTAACACGTGTGTTATATTCAGCCTTTCCAGCCGAAAGCGTCTTCTAAAGCAAACACATCGGTATTGATTCGCGATTTACAAAAAAAAAGGGTTATTAAAAGTCTAGGATTATTATGATCGCTAGATTTTTCCTCTTGTCTGACGGGACGCAATTTATATTGCAGTTTTAATGCAAATGTGTATCAAAATTGATTTCTGACTCTTCTCTGTATTTAATTAATAATTCGACCGTATTTACACGTAACGCGCAGGCGGAAGAACCGCCACGATTATAACGTATTTAACGCATATTATTATTTCACGGAAAAGCTAATTAATATGTCGACGAGATATGAGCAAAACAAAGTCTCGTCTTCGCGTGCGATCAATGATTTCCGGACAACGTAATTATCAGCTCCATTTGCGCCACTGACAGTGATGATTCATTAACGAGTGAAAAGGTGAGAGCGTGTACGTGGGCCATATGCGCCGCTATTTTTATGGGCTCCCATTATGAAAAGCTCGCCTAATTTGGTCTGATGTCATTAACGTCTGCGATTCGGCGATAAATTATTCAGGATAATTGGATTCAGGGTGCGCATAAAATCCACTTAGTATATAGCGCCCATTCAGCGAAGGTATAGTCGCGGCATATGGGCATAAAAAGGGGGGAGGGAGGGTCCGGACTAATGCTCGGACAGAGATTATTTTACGCCGGGCTCTCCATAGCGTGTGTGTTGTAAATCGACGTTGCATGGCGCGACCAACCGTGGATAGTAGTACCTCGAGCTGTTTAATAGTTGATCGTGTTGCGCGCGAAATTAACGTTCGAAACTCCAATCCGCGTCAAATTAAAATAAGAAAGAATCGAAAAAAAAAAAATAACATTACGATATATATTATCACTTCTCTCGCGTTTCTCTCGCTCTTTCTCTACGCAGTTTTTTATTAAAGTATTTTTTTGTATTAAAACATTTCACTCTTCCGCTATTCGGAACTATTTTAATAATTGCCCAGTTTCGTTGTTCCTCCAGTTGCTAGTGCATTATTCTAAAAGAGCTACTCGAAGAAAGGCTCTTTACAAAGGATCTGTTTGCGAACACGCTGATCTTTAACATCGTCGACTCGTCTATTTCGCGTTGCATTATTAAACGAGACGCGAAGCAATTTATCGCGTCTGCAAAACGGATCCGGAGGAAGGAAAGGCCGAGTTTCTATACACACTTTCTTCTGCAATTGCTTCGTACTGCGAACGAATACGCACGACGAACAAATATTTTTCATTTAGTGGAATACTCTTAAATATCAAAGAGTTTGCGCAGGTATACGAAAAAGCGACTGAGGAAGAACGCAATTCTCTTCGCGGCTCTCCGTTGCTAGCATCACGGACCAATTCTTGCACTGGGCGTCCATTATCTCGTACAAAGCTAAAAATGAGAAGAGAGAGAGAGAGAGAGAAACAGAGAAATAGAGAGAGAGAGAGAGAGAGAGAGAGAGGGAGGGAGGGAGAGAGGGAGAGAGGGAGAGAAAGAGACAAAAAACGTAGCGGACATAACAGACGTAAAAAAAGGTGGCGGGGGCTACCTGCGAATTAATTAAGAGTCCCTGAGTTAGAGGCGAACAAACGAGATACGGCAGAGTCGCCGAGGTTCACGGCACCAAATATCCGGTCGCGGTTGCGCGAACTGGAAAGAATGTCGGAAGAAAGATAGCGCGCTTGAAAACGCAAGCTGCTCCGCCGCGCCCGCCCGTATGTCCGTGGCACATGCACGTTATATGCGCGCGATATACAAACGAAACCGCCGTGTGGAACCGGAGGCGAGGGCGCGCGGGAGAGAAAGAAGAAGAGCGGCGCGCATCTCTTCTCCTCCGGCTGTCTCGGGGACGGGAGAACCAGAGAGACTCCGAGACAGAAGAGGTTGAAGAATGTGCACTCAGCGTGATTGGTGCTGCGCGCCGGTGCATAGTGCCGGCTGTCGGCATGAAAACTCGAGAATTTTTCCAACTACTCATGTGCACACAGCCGAAGATGCGCGTATAAACCTGTGCCTCTCACCGGGCCGGCAGCATCTTAGCCATCATGATCGAACTATCGGCTTTCCTGTCGCGCGTATATGTCTGTCTATTTTTCTCCTTCAAGTTACAGTTTCCTTCTTTCCGTTCTATTGTCGCGAGAAATGTGTAGATTTCAACACTACGCGTTTGTTTGTTTGTTTGTTTGTTTTTGTTTCTCTCGGTCAGGCGTAGAGATTTTTGTTACATTTGTTTGCTGCATTTTTACGAATATTTGGTGCACAAAGAAAAGAATTTTATTTACATATCAAAAATACACGAATTACTTAGATCAGTAAAACCACGTTGTTATCAGTGTTTTTTTGAAGATGCGTATATTTACATGTACGAAAGTTTTTAATCCTTTGCGCTGCACACACCGAATCGCAAATCCTTTTCTTTTTTTTTTTAATAATAAAACGCATTGTTACTTTGTTAAGCTGCTTTTATATGTAAAATCGTAAATCAGACAAATGTTCACACAATTTGCTTGTCTTGCCATGTGTATATTTGTCGAGCAGCAAAGTGAATTTACATTGAGATTTTACATTGAGAGAAATTTTCCAATAAGCAAATAATATTCGGCGTGTGTTGCGAGAGAGTTACTGCAATGTAAATCGGACTTGAATAAAGTACCATCGGTATTTGTCAAAAGTCAATATTTATCGAAATATCAGAATTCATGTTGTCGCCGTGTATAACCACGAAAAAAAACCGTTATTGCAAAAAGTGACATCTATAAGTACACAAATTATATATGTACATATATATAATATGTATATATATATATATATATATAATATACATAATTACATATAATTTTTTTTATTATGAACAAATTAAAACAAGAGAAAGAGAGAAAAATATGCAGCATTATCAGAATTAAATAAATGTACGTTAAAATCGACAAAAAAATTATTAACAAAAAAAAGAACTTGCATCTGCTATCTATATCGTACATCATACAAGACGCTTCGCCTGCGGAATCGTATACATGTTATATATATATTCGAAAGTTCTATGTTACCCACGAAAGTTACCCACGAGTACAAGATAGGCAGAAATTTACTAAACCAAATCTGCTGTGGTGAGCACAACGGAAGCCGAAGCGGGCATGGTGATGCGAGTCGTGTCAACGCGCGATCCGGCGAGCAGCCCGGAGAGCACGCTGGGCGCATAAACGATCAACTGCTCCGGAATATTCATCCAAGTCCTGGCGTCGACGGTAACGGGTGTGTCGGCGAAGTTAACCATAAGCGCCACGACAGATGCGTCGAGTCGCCGTACGGCTCCTAGGATTTTCTCGGTGACCAATACGGTTTCCAGAGAGCCCCGCTCGATAACCGGCTTTCTCTTCAGTCGCGTTAGTGCTTGGAATACTTTGTAATGGGACACGGCCGCGGTCTTCTGCGCCGCTAAATTCAGCGTCTTGTAATTGGTGTGCACCGGAAGCCAGGTTTTATTATTAATGGAAAAACCGGCGCTGGTGCTGTTGTCCCAGTGGAACGGCGTTCTCGCCGGATCTCTCGACTTCAAATGATACCTGATAACAAAAAAAAATAAATAAATAAAACGCGCGATTATTGAAGAAAAATCGGGAATAATTAAGGAATGCCTGCGGGAAAAGCGTTTTTAATTGAGTTGAATTATCGATCTTCTTCAAAACGAATGCGGTTTGTATCGCTAATTGTTTACGCTGAATATATTTAAATAAATTAATATACAATTTACGTAAGAAAGAGAATACGGTTTGTCCGAAAAAATCTAATGACGTATTACGCCAAGTACAATATAAATCTGCGTGGTAAAAATTATTGGCGCATTTTTTATTCCAACGCCACATTTTCGTCTTCGAGCGATTCTCTGTTCGAGTTTATCTCCACTGACGTACCTGTTGGGCCCGGCGATGCAACCAATGGGATCCACGGTTTCCGCATACGTAAAATTCCTATCGAGCATGCCAATCTCATCGCCGTTGTAAATCACGCTCACGCCGGGCAGAATGGTCGCCAGCATGGAAAGTTGATCGGCCCGTTTCTCACCGAATCTGGAAGCTACGCGATGATTATCGTGATTTCCGACCACCCAGTTCGCGACGTAGTCGGGATTATTAGGTATAAGATTCATCCAACTGTCGATGGATCGCTTGAAGTCTGCTGCGCTGGATTTATTATTGAGACTGAGAATGAACATAAAGTTGAACGGCACATTCGAACCCGATTTGTAATACGCTTCGAAATCCGCGTCACCCTCAGTCAGGATTAATCTCGTGTCAGTGGTGTTCGAATGGTTATTCAGCAATTCCCTCCAAGATCTCAGAACGGCGTAAGTCTCGTTAAGATTTATCGTGTAAATATGATCCAGAGTCTCGTATTCGTCGTCATCCGGTGACGCGTTTTTTCGCGGCTCGTCCAGGAAACGCGCGTCCTCGTACAGGTGACTGATAGCGTCGATGCGGAAGCCATCCACGCCCCGATTCAGCCAGAAAGTCAATACGTTTTTCATCTCACGTTGCAAAGCTGCGCTGCGATAATTGAGATCCGCCTGGACGACGTTGAACTTGTGCAAATAATATTGTTTCCGCGCCGCGTTCCATTCCCAGGCGGAACCTTTGACCGCACTCAGCCAGTTGTTCGGTGGCTTCCTGGTCCCGTTTACTATTTTCGCGTCGCGCCACACGTAATACTCGTCATACGGCTTGATTCGCTGTACGCTCTTTTTGAACCATTCGTGCTCGCAGGAGCTGTGATTCGGCACAAAATCGAGAATTATTCGCAGTCCAAGAGACTTCGCCGTCGCCACGAGTCTGTCGAAATCGGCCAGAGTGCCGTAATCCTTATCCACGTCGGTGTAATTAGAGACGTCATAGCCAAAATCAAACTGCGGGCTGGTGTAGATCGGCGACAGCCATAACGCGTCAGCGCCGATGTTCACGATGTGTCCCAACTTGCTCGTGATGCCGTTCAAATCGCCTATACCGTCTCCGTCACTGTCTTTGAAACTTCTCGGGTAAACCTGATACACCAAACTATTCTTGTACCAATCCTTACCCGCATTCCTGATTGATACCGAAACAGTCGCAGCCGCTAAAACTGTGACAAAGACACACAGACGAACCATTGCTACTGATTCAGTAGCAGTGCTGAATTCAATGTACTTGTTTACTTTTGCTCAATATCTTATATAACATGACAATCTTATAAAAATCTAGATAGATATTACTACACAGATATATATCGTTGGAATTTTATCATTTTCCGTTGATAAGATCGCAATCGGAAGGTATCAATTGATAATTGCACAAGAATTATATGATAATGCGCGCGGTAAATATTCCTCAAGTAAATATCAGTATCACATAACACGTGTAAATGTTTTCGCGTGTAAGTGTTTTTCAATTTAGATTTTTACGATAATTATACAATAACAGGAAACATCTGTTGTCTAATATCTGACGAGAATTCTCAATATCATCGTTCGAGTTTTACGCAATAAGAAATAAGTGTGGAAAGTAGAACACACACACACACAGGAATATTAGGAAATTGATACGATTTTTTTTAAAAGAAATATACTATGAATGAACAATTTATTTTTTTTTATTGTTTTTTATCACAAAATACACTTTTGTATCTAGTCTCATAAATCGACGAGATGCATATAGGGAAAATGACATACTCGTATACGTACGTTTACACTTATATATGCGCAACTTGGGTCATTCCTGGCGCGTGAGATAGGCAGGAATTTACTAAACTAAGTCCGCTGTGGTAAGCACAATGGAAGCCGAGGCGGGCACAGTGATGCGAGTCGTGTCAGCGCGCGATCCAGCCTGGAGCCTGGAGCGCACGCTGGGCGCATAAACGATCAACTGCTCCGGAATATTCATCCAGGTCCTGGCATCGACGGTGACGGGTGTGTCGGCGAAGTTAACCATAAGCGCCACGACAGACGCGTTGTGTCGTCGTACGACTCCCAAAATTTTCTCAGTGACCAACACGGTCTCGAGAGAGCCTCGCTCGATTACAGGCTTCTTTTTTAATCGCGCAAGAGCCTTGAATACTTTGTAATGAGACACCGGCGCGATCTTCTGCGCCGCCAGATTCAAAGTCTTGTAATTGCTGTGCACTGGAAGCCACGTATCCTTGCTAGTGGAAAAACCGGCACTGGTGCTGTTGTCCCAATGGTAGGGCGTTCTTTCCGGGTCTCTTGACTTTAGGTGATATCTAAAAAGAGATGGTTTAATTTCTTTATTATTATATTTATTATATTTTTATTCTATTTCGAGAGTTGAAAACACATTTGAGGTATCTAAAACAATTATCAATTTAACTTTACGTGAGGAAAGGTCACTAAATAATTTTATAATAATTAATAATACATTTTTGTGTGAAACTAGCAATCTTTTTGAATAATGACATTTCTATAATAAATTTCTTCGTAATATATTATATGTATATACTAATGTAATAAATCACATCTGAAATACGTGAGTTTAAAATAATACATTTATAAATCACATTTTGAATCTGCCGTAAATATAGAGAGAGCGACATAATTCTTTTTTCTTCTCTCTCTCTTTCTCTCTCTCTCTCTCTCTCTTTCGCTACTCGAATTCCACTCGTGACAATACCTGTCAGGTCCGGCGTTGCATCCGGAGGGATCCTTAGTTTCCTTGTACGTAAAGTTTCTGTCGAGCATGCCGATCTCGTCGCCGTTGTAAATCACGCTCACGCCGGGCAAAATGGTAGACAACATGGAAAGTTGATCGGCTCGTATCTCGCCAAATCGAGAAGCGGCACGATGATTGTCGTGATTGCCCACCACCCAGTTCGCAACATATTCCGGTCCTTTCGGTATATTATTTATCCATCGATCGGTGAGGCGCTTGAAGTCCGATGCGCTAGACTTGTTGTTCAGCTCCGCGATGAACATGAAATTAAAGGGAACGGTCGAGCCCGACAGATAGTACAGTATAGTGAGATTTAAGTCCGTGTAGGCCTCGGTCAGAATCATCTTCTTATCGGCGTTTATCGAGTGATTGTCCATTACTTGTCTCCAGGTTTTGAGTACTTCGTAAGTCTCGAGAAGATTTTTTGTGTAAATGTGATCTAAAGTGTCGTAGTCGTCGTCCGGCAATCCGCTCGCACCGCTTTTCGGCTCATCCAGGAAACGAGAGTCCTCGTACATGTGGTTAATGGCGTCGATGCGGAAGCCTTCCACGCCCCGATTCATCCAGAAAGTCAGCACGTTCCTCATTTCCCGCTGTAACGATGGGCTGTGATAGTTGAGATCCGGTTGTCCTTTGACAAACTGGTGCAAGTAATACTGTTTACGCTCGCCGTTCCATTCCCAAGCGGAACCGCCGAAGACGCTCAACCAATTGTTCGGCGGTTTTCTGGTGCCATTTACTATTTTTGCGTCCTTCCATACGTAATACTCGTCGTAAGGTTTGATTCGTTTTATGCTCTTCTTGAACCATTCGTGCTCGTCGGAACTGTGATTTGGCACGAAATCGAGAATCACTTTGAGCCCCAGTGACTTTGCCTTCGCCACGAGTCTGTCGAAATCGGCCAAAGTGCCGTAGTCCTTGTCGATGTCGGTGAAGTTGGCGATATCGTAACCAAAATCGGCTTGCGGACTGGTGTAGATTGGCGACATCCATAACGCGTCCGCGCCGATGTCCGCGATGTGTTCCAACTTGCTCGTGATACCGTTCAAATCGCCTATTCCATCTCCGTTGCTGTCTTTGAAACTTCTCGGATAGATCTGATATATCAGACTGTTCTTGTACCAGTCTTTCTGCGCCGACGTTGAGCCGGTCAGAGCGACCAGCGCTGCGATAAAGACACTCGTGCGAAACATATCGACACTATGACTCGATTGTGCACTGCGAACTGCTTTTATATCGCGTGATGGACTTTTCAAAAATGTAGAACAGCACGTTTTTATCGTGGCGTATTATCACTTGTAAGCTTATTAATCGCGACTTCTGGTAGCGGGAATTACCAATTGATAACGTCAACCGTTTTATTGCTCTTCATCGAGACGTCGCGTCGTGAAAACTGATATCCAATAGTTTCAAGAGACAATATCTGGAAAGATAATAAATTACTGCAATTATGCTCAAGCGTTATTGCGTTTCGTTTCCACGTAACAATGATTAATACATGTAGAGTGTATAGAAAGAAAAAATGTATCACGCATTTATTACGGCTTTAAAGCCGGAGATTTCAGGTTCAACTTGTGGCCGAGGAGTTTTTTTCGCAATATTTTAAAATTAGTTAGGAGGATATACGGGATCTTTCATATATGAGATGCAAATATAGCATCCTATATGAATTTAAGAATTAAAATCTCAATTCAAAAACTCGCGTGTAAGATTTACACGTAAACACGTTGTGGAAACATATGCGTGTGTATATATATATATATATATATATATATATATATATATATATACACGCATATGTTTCCAAAACATCAAGCGAACGGTTTTCATGACCGTATATACACATACTTAGTTTATAATTAAAATAATTAAATAATTTTTTTATATTAAAATATTTAAAAAATAATAATACTAAATAAGTTTTAGATATTTTTTAAATATATAAAAAATATTAATGATAAATAATTGTTAATAAATTATTATTACTCGTCGAAAATTAATAGTCACGACAAGAGACAGTACGAGTGTTATACTAGATGACCGTGTATTGATTCTTTTGTTGCAAGATTTTTATTCAGACGTTTCGATCTATTTTAGATGTTCATCAATGAATGTCTGTTAAAACAATATTATACATATTCAAATATAAATGATTATAACTTAATACTTACTATATAACGTTTTGTCACCAATCAAGTAGCCTTAACAAGAGTCATATCACTAGCTTTAGAACACGTTGAACACGTCTCAATGTACAATTCTTCACTCTTACATGAGTCAAAACCGTTGAATTTATTTTGTATTTATGTCTTTGTATGTTTCTAACAGTGAGAAATATGGTTTCAATTTTTAAGTAGTTAAAAAATATAAAAAAAAAGAAAACTTCTTCATCGATTAGTATCTTGACGTTGGTGAAAAAACCGAATATGCTACAATAAAACTCACATTTTATTGTAGCATATTGCAATAATATAACTAAACCTAATCACGTTGTGTAGAATTACAGTTTCAATCACAACTTTTATCTTCTATAAATCCAAACTCGATCATATGCTTATCTTGAAATTTTACATACGTTATTGTGTCATCATAAGCTAACATTTAGACCACAATTGAACAAGATTTATAAGGTCGACAAAAGAGCGAATTTTGCTCACTATTTCTATGCGAGGTGGAAAGTAGAACAAAAATATTAGGAAATGAATAGGGGTTTTTAATAGGGTAATTAATAGGGTTTTTTTTTTAAAGAAATATACTGTAGGTGAACAATTTAATTTTTTTTTGTTTTATTGTTCTTTGTCAAAATACACTTTTGTATCTAGTCTCATAAATCTATGAGATGACTATGGGGAAAATAACGTACTCGTATATATACGTTTACACTTATGTATGCGCTACTTGGGTCGTTCATGAAGTGCGTTAGATAGGCAGGAATTTACTAAGCTAAATCCGCTGTGGTAAGCACAATGGAGGCTGAAGCGGGCACGATGATGCGAGTAGTGTCAACGCGCAATCCAGCCTGGAGCCCGGAGCGCACGCTGGGCGCATAAACGATTAACTCCTCCGGAATATTCATCCAAGTCCTGGCGTCGACGGTGACGGGTGTGTCGGCAAAGTTAACCATAAGAGTTACAACAGACGCGTTGTGTCGCCGTACGACTCCCAAGATTTTCTCGGTGACCAACACGGTCTCGAGAGAGCCCCGCTCAATGACGGGCTTCTTTTTTAACCGCGCTAGAGACTTGAATACTTTGTAATGAGACACTGGCGCGATCTTCTGCGCCGCCAGATTCAGAGTCTTGTAATTGCTGTTTACCGGAAGCCACGTATCGTTGCTGGTGGAAAAACCGGCGCTTGTGGTATTGTCCCAATGGTAGGGCGTTCTTTCCGGGTCTCTTGACTTCAGGTGATATCTAAAAAGAGATGGGTTTAATTTCTTTATTATTATATTTATTATATTTTTATTATTATATTTGGAGAGTTTAAAACGTTTAAGGTATCTAAAACAACTATCAATTTAATTTCTACGCAAGGGAAGATCTCTACATAATTTTATAACAATTAATAATACATTTTTGTGAAACTAGCAATCGTTTTGGATAATGACATTTCCATAATAGATTTCTTTTTAATATATTATATGTATATATTAATGTAATAAATCACATCTGAAATACGTGAGTTTAAAATAATACATTTATAAATCACATTTTGTATCTGCCGTAAATATAGCAACATAATTCTTTTTCCCTCTCTCTTTCTCTCTCTCGCTACTCGAATTCCACTCGTGACAATACCTGTCAGGTCCGGCGTTGCATCCGGAGGGATCCTTAGTTTCCTCGTACGTAAAGTTTCTGTCGAGCATGCCGATCTCGTCGCCGTTGTAAATCACGCTCACGCCGGGCAGAATGGTCGTCAACATGGAAAGTTGATCGGCTCGTATCTCGCCGAATCGGGAAGCGGCACGATGATTGTCGTGATTGCCCACTACCCAGTTCGCGACATATTCCGGTCCTTTCGGTATATTATTCATCCATCGATCGATGAGGCGCTTGAAGTCCGATGCGCTAGACTTGTTGTTCAGATCCGCGATGAACATGAAATTAAAGGGAACGGTCGAGCCCGACAGATAGTACAGTATAGTGAGATTTAAGTCCGCGTATGCCTCGGTCAGAATCATCTTCTTATCGGCGTTTATCGAGTGATTGTCTATTACTTGTTTCCAGTTTTTGAGTACTTCGTAAGTCTCGAGAAGATTTTTTGTGTAAATGTGATCTAAAGTGTCGTAGTCGTCGTCCGGCAATCCGCTCGCACCGCTTTTTGGCTCGTCCAGAAAACGAGAGTCTTCGTACAAAAAGTTAATGGCGTCTATGCGGAAGCCCTCCACGCCTCGATTCATCCAGAAAGTCAGCACGTCCCTCATTTCCCGCTGCACCGATGGACTGCGATAGTTAAGATCAGCCTGTCCTTTGACAAACTGATGCAAGTAATACTGTTTACGCTCACCGTTCCATTCCCAAGCGGAACCGCCGAAGACGCTCAACCAATTGTTCGGCGGTTTTCTAGTGCCGTTTACTATTTTCCCGTCTTTCCACACGTAATATTCGTCGTAAGGTTTGATTCGTTTTATGCTTTTCTTGAACCATTCGTGCTCGTCGGAACTGTAATTCGGCACGAAATCGAGAATCACTTTGAGCCCCAGTGACTTCGCCTTCGCCACGAGTCTGTCGAAATCGGCCAAAGTGCCGTAGTCCTTGTCGATGTCGGTGAAGTTGGCGACATCGTAACCGAAATCGGCTTGCGGACTGGTGTAGATCGGCGACAGCCATAACGCGTCCGCACCGATGTCCGCGATGTGTTCCAACTTGCTCGTGATACCGTTCAAATCACCTATGCCATCTCCGTTGCTGTCTTTGAAACTTCTCGGATAAATCTGATATATTAGACTGTTCTTGTACCAGTCTTTTTGCGCTGACGCCGAGCTGGTCAGAGCGACCAGCGCTGCGATAAAGACGCTCGTGCAAAACATATCGACGATATGACTCGATTGTTTACTACTAGCCGGTTTTATATCGCGTGATGAACTGTTCAAAAATGTAGAACAACACGCGTTTTTATCGTGGCGTATTATCATTTGTAAACTTATTAATCGCGACTTCTGGTAGCGAGAATTACCAATTAATAACGTCAACTGTGATATTATTCTTATCGAGCCGTCGCGTCGTGAAAACTGATGTCCAATAGTTTCAAGAGACAATACCTGGAAAGATAATAAATTACTGCAATTATGCTCAAGCGTTTTCGCGTTTTGTTTCCGCGTAACAATGATTAATACATGCAGAATGTATAGAAAGAAAAAATGTATTGCGCATTTTTTACGTAGCGCAATTGTGCGTCAAAGATTTTATTTATCTCTCATTCGATGTGTGTATGTATTGTGTGTGTGTGTGTGTGAAATTACTCCATTGCCAGTGGCGTTACATAATCTGTTACTTTTAAATCTATGCATTGCAAAGACAAACCGTATATAAAACACTTGTATAAGTAATCATTGTTCCAAGTTGGTTGGCGTGGTAATCGATGGTGTTCCATAAAACATTCGCCGCACATATTTCGCAACGTATCGTCGATAACACAATCCGGCAGTTGAAATTTCGAAATAATGCTGCGTCGCGGATTTTATCGCGAGAATCCCTGCGGCAAAACATATACACACATACATACACACACACGCTGACATGCGCCTTTTAGCTCGGCGCGCACGGAAATCGATTTCTCGCGGGCTCTTGCCACTCTTCAGACATTCGCAGAATATCGCCGCATATCGTTATTATTATAACTCTCGTTTCTTAGACAGAAAGAGATTTGCAGTTTTCCTGCGAAAAGCACTGATTCTTTCGGTGGTAAAACGCGCGCTGCGCGCGTAATATAATACGTCGGTTCGTGTATGCGACGATAAGATTTTTCGATTTTGCTCGGCTCCGCTTGGAGAAATGGCGAAAATTCAGACCCGCACCATCTCGCGTGCGCGAGGTGTTTAAAGTGCGTTGTGCGGCCTCGTAACTGCGCTATCGCGACCTACGCGTAATTATATAGAAGGTGATTCGAGAGACCCCACAAACGCATTTCTTTCCTTCCTTACGACGCGTGAGGATCAATTTAATCTCAGCGCGGTTGTCGAGCCTTCTATCAGGAATAAATTCGCTATTACCGAGAGAAATATCGCGGACATCGCTGCAAAAATCTTTTTCCACCTTGACGGCTATTTTTCATCATCTTCTATAGGTAAGGTGTACGTACGTAAGTACATACGTGTGTGTGTGTCGAATATATCGCGCGTGCGATATGAAAATTTCTCTCCGAAAATTCAATGGCGATACCCTTTTGAAGTAAACTTCGTCTTGTAATATGATAAACCTCCATTATTTGATATTCCACGGGCGAAAGAGTCGCATTATATACAAAGCGCGATGAAAATCTCAATACCAGGAAGGAAATGATTTTTCATAAAAGATAAATCGAAGTAATTCTCTTTTACATAGAATACATTTTATGTGCAAAAATGATACTGCAACGGTGTGTTTTCACAATATGCAGCGCTTATGTTATTCAGTTTTTTATTTTACAGACAACGAAGAAATCCGAGATAAAACCCCGCAAAGCATCGGGCAAGAACAAAAAGCATCCATCAAGTAGGAAGTTTTAACTTTTTTCATATGTAACATATTATTATTCATGAATTGCACATATCTTATGTGACCGAAGTTGCGTAATAATAGTTGCCATGTAAATATATTATACCCATTTTCCTACATGTCTCTTTTAGAAAGTCTGTTAAACAGAAAAAGTCTCGCTGGAAACTCGCTCTCTTTACGTTTCTTCTTCTGTTCTTATTCCCTTCTGTCCGATACTCCGGAATATTAGCTGCGGAAAGACGGAAAGCGCGCGCGGCGCTCTTTGCGACTCTTTGACGTATTCCGTCGCGCGTTTGAAATAAAATGTGCATGTAAAATCTCGGAGAAGAGGAAGAAATATCTTTTCTACGCGTATAAACAGCTTTGTTTATTGATGAAGAGATGACGACTTTATGTCACGAAAAAAAGTTAATAAAAGATCTGCTTGTCTCTTCTTATCATCAAAGATAAATATTTTTTCTAGTTGTTCATTTATTTGTGTGTGCATTCGAAGACAAATCGTACCCTTCTGCAAACACGAATGATAATAATACGCGAGAAAAGTACGCAAAAAAGAGCTGTGCGTACGAGCATTTTTAGCGAGAGTCACACAGAACCGCTATGTGCGCGGAAGGAAAAGAAGTAATAAAGCGACAACGTGTAAATTGGCCGCAGATTAAAAGCGCAGTCTCTAAAGAACATAACCCGCAAAAACGTTGCGTTTTGCGGAATAATTTACGGTTACGAATGCAGCGAGGGATGGCCGGGAAAATATTACCGTCAGCAAGAATTCTCATACGGCCATGTACATGTATATAACACACCGTGAAGTTTCGTCCCCAGCTGTTATTTATATGGGTAATTTTCTTCATGGCTTATGGCCAACTTAATTCATTCATTATCCGGACGGACGATAAAGACAATTTCGCCGAGATGATACATCATTCTTATTAGCGGCGTTATTTCCACTGTTAACTTTCCGTGTGCCTCCTCCCTCTCCTCGCTTCGCGTTCTCAAGTTTATCAAAATTTCTATTTTGCGTCTCGCACAATGTTATTTATCAGCGCGCTCACACATTTAGTCCCTCTAGAGAAATATGCTGATACAACATGAGTAAAGTACTTCATCTTCATTCGATTAATCGTGTGAGATGAAAACACATTATTTCCCACGTTAAAATGACAAATACAAATTTAACTACGTATATAGAATTAGAATTAAAGTCGAATAAGAGTCTATATACAAGATTTTAATGTCTTAATTTTTTATTTGTTTATTGTCCCAATGACGGATCAAATATTTTGATATTGTATTATATATATTATATGTATTATATACATACTACAGTAATGTCACTGACCTCGGCCGCGCGGCCTTGGCGGGGTCACTGACCTCGGCCGCGCGGCCTTGGCGGGGCACTGACCTCGGTCGCGCGGCCTTGGCGGGGTCACTGACCTCGGACGCGCGGCCTTGGTGGGGAGGGGTCACTGACCTCGGGCGCGCGGCCTTGGTGGGGGAGAGTCACTGACCTCGGTCGCGCGACTGCGGTGAAGTCACTGACTACGGCCGCGCGGCCGCGGCGGGGTCACTGACCCCGATCACGTGATTACGATATATATATATGTGTGTGTATGTGTGTATTATATATATAGATATAGAGTTTTATATATAATATATATAATATTCTTTTTTTTACTCTTTTATCTGTCACGTGACTTTAGTTGTTTTTCCACTTCTCTCTCACTATTTTTCGAGTTTGATTTTCACGCGTTATTTCTGACATCTCTCATATGTATATTATGTTTTATAAGACGTATATACTAGCTGTCATCGCGGTAACAGATTGTGTTACCTTACACAACACGTTAAAATAAAAATGACAATAGCGAGCGCGTAGCGCGCGCCTGTGTTGTGCTAGTAAAATAAAAATTCTGTGCTAATAAAATAAAAAACTCAATATCTGGAATTTCAGCATCTTGTTAGTTGAATTTGTGGCCAGTATTTAAGCGGTGCTTGAGTGTCAACTGAGAAATTTTCAATATTTCTGTTTATTTGGTTTTTATGTTCGTTGATTTGTGTTATTAGCTTTTTTTTGTTTCATCCATGTATGTTATTTTGCAATTATTACATTTAATACAATAGATTATATTTTTGTTTTAAATACATCTATAGTTATCGTATAACGCTGTAATTTTTCGACAATTAATTAAAATCTTTTTTGTTTTATTCAAGAGCTACCGATTGTATATCTTGATAGTGTTTGTACATAAAATTGTGATACTTATCGGCTCGTTTTCGTCGAATTCGATTTTGTTTGACACGTCTTGCCACTTGTCACGTGAGAGAACCTTGATTTCGTTGATCGGCGAACTCGCCGATAACGATCTTTTTGTTGCAAATCATGCACAAACAAAACTCGAGGACAATCGCTTGGTTACCGGAATATTGATTTGCCTCTTATTCCATTATGCTGGCTGTTGAAACTTGTTTATTGCGTGTTATACGGAAAAAAGATACAAAAAGCCAGCAAACTTGGAGGATCATGAGAGCAATGAGATGTAAGCATACGACGAAATGCGTATTGAAAGTGATTATTTTAGACAATCTATATAAGTTAATTTATTAACGAGAGGTTTAACTTATATTTAGTAAAAAAAAAAACCTATTTTTCTTTTCGTATTCTGAATTCTCACAAAAAAGTGCATGCGCGCAAGCATAAAAAAAAATAAATATAATAAGTATAAAGTGCGCCGCGCGCGTAATGCTAATTGCGATGCTCATTAAATACGAAGCTAATGAAAGAAAATCAGAATACAATCGTTCGCTCGATCCCAAAACTGATGCTCATTCAGAATCGCGCGACTCTCGAGAGAGAGCCAATTTACGCCTCGCCCGCTCCATCATCTAATTAAAGCAGACTCGCGTTATCGGACTTGTGAGCTTGTTTTTCCGCGTGATTTTTGACGAGCGATGTAACGACGATGTGGCATTTAAGTCAATTTTCGCACGCTCGTATGTATGTATGCGTGTGTGTGTGTGTGTATGTGCGAACGTCACCTCTCGCAGTGTGTGACGATCGTTTCGAAGAACACAGACGCGACGAAAGCGGGAACGAGCGTGGCCAGTATAACGAGGCCACCTTATGTCAGCCACCCTCGGTGCGATGGGGTAGTCAAACAACCCCCTCGCAGTTTACGGCCGTAATTAACTTCCCGGGTTATTAGCCCTCGTTCGTGGCGGCGATGTGCTTCTCTCTCTCTCTCTCTCTCTCTTTCTACAGAAGTCTCTCCGTCTGGACGGTCCTTCTCGCAACTCGTTGAGTCCAATGGGCTTCGTCCGGCTACACCGGCAAGTTTATCTCGCCGAACTTCTGCGAGGAAATGTTTTTCGTAGTTGCTTGAAAGTCCGAAGCGCGCGCCGTATAATCATTCGACGTCGCGCGGGGAAAAGAAAGGAAGAGGAATCGTTGAAACTTAAAATTGGTCGAGATGTGTACGACTATTAGTACAAAGTCAGGATCATGTTTCGATTTTCTTGAGACCGTGAAATGAAAGACATGTGTATTGATTGATTTTTTTTTTCTAGTTTGATAAAAGTTTCCGTCTTCTCACACACGCGTCTTCTTTTCGTCGCAGCATCTGTTGCGTCTCGAGACAATTGTCGTACATTCTTCTAAAATTCACGACATTTCTTCCATTTGTAGCAGCGCGAACTTTCGTATCTAGATTTCACCGAAGAATACTTCGTCGCCCCAACTTCAAGGATAAGCTTGAAGCGTGAAAACTACGCGAACACATTTTAACATAATTTAAAAGATTCGCGCGCTATGCATTTTTATATTATCTCTTCCGTAGGAATAAATTGAAAACAAAAATTAAATGTACGAAAACCTA